CCCCATGACCTGTTCTCAATTTCCTGAGATAAATAATGTGACTTGATTACAAATTTGAAGGAATTTTATTCAGATTTTAAAACAAATTTTAAAATTTAATCACAGAATAAATTTTTGATGAATTTAAACACTTTTATCCACTTTGAAGTTAATAATATATTCATATTTATCACAAATGTTGAAAGTTCATTCATTTTTCAACTATTCTACATCCTCAAACCCTTTATTTGCTTTTGGTACAGATGTGGGACCCTTTACTGTAAAAAATAATGTAGAATATTTTGATTAGTCCCTAGATGTAAAATTCCTTGTTGGTTTATGCCAAATTACTAATTCCAAATGTGTTGCATGTATTAAAAATGTGTAGTATTAAACATCTAAAATAACCTTGGATACCTACATTAAATATTTGTGGAAGATAATTTCTAAACTTCATATAAAAGCACCATTTATTTTATACTATTTCTTAAGCAAATTCTAGACTATCTTAATCTCCAGTCACATGTTTTTCTTATACATTGATAGCTATGTTTGAAAGCACATTAATTTTAAAGAAGATAGACCTTCTTCCAAAACAACTGAAAAATTAGTCTCCTTTAACTGTGTTAAATGTGTCTACATATTATTCCAATACCATGCACCTCAATCTGGGTGGTAAGTGTAATACAGCTTTTATCTCCCTGCTCTATTCCCTGTTCCAAAATGATACACACAATTTTTACTTGCTTTTTGGCATTAAAATTAATAAAATAAATGTTAGGCTCTACACTCACTCAGATATTAAAAAAAAAAAAAAAAAAGCTTGATGAAAACAAAAATAAAATTTCAATAAGGATTGGAATTCAAAGCTTGGGTTAGTAAAATTCTGATGACACGTGTTTGAGAGAAAATGTCTGCTTTGTATTGTGTATTTAGTAACTGCAATGTGAAAACAAAAAAATCAAGAAGCAAATTGCTGGACAGTATTGTTGGATGTCTCGACAGGGCGATACAATCCCATTAGGAGACTGCCTATCGATATCCCAAGCAATCGACTGACGCACCTGTGTTCTCTTTGATTAGATCTGTACTGTGTCCGTGACCGTTGAAGAGAACGCGTGTGGCTTGGTTTGTGCTAACAGTGTGTTGTGCGTCACGAGTTGTAATCCGCCAGAACCCGTCTGTAATCAAGGGAAGATCTGTGTGTCGTCAGATTGGGGTGCGTACTGTCTACAATTCCAACAAGCATGAATCATGGAATAATCTGGCAAATTTTTCTTGTAGTAAACAAAAAACAAAACAAAAAAAGCTGAGAAAAAACACTAAATTTCTTTGAGTTTTAAACTTCATGTTCGAAATTTTATTATATTACGTAAGCAGATTAAATTGTAAATTGCGGTGGTGGTTCTTGTTCTTGATAGTGTTAACATTTTTTAAGGTTGCTTTTCAACAACTTCGTAATTTAGTGACCACTGTGATTGTTTTAACTGTAGGGGGAACTGTAAGAAGAATACATAAGGACAACACGAACGCACTTAAACATCTATGCCCAAGACGAAATTTAAACCTGTGACCCTTTGAGTCAAGGCAGTTACGGCCCTTTAGCCTCAGCGAGTGTTAACGTAATCAGCATGACAACATAAATTTGCGAAATATATTTAGTTACACACAATACACATTTGTTTCAATTACTATTGTGAATCATAATGCCGTCACAAGTTTCATATTTTTTGACTGTGAACTAGTGTTGCTACAATAGCACATATTTTCTCGTGTTATTTCTTACTGCTCCGCTACATACAATTATGTAAACATTCAAATGTGTTTTGAACAGCAAAAATTATTTTCCGCACCGAGACCCGAATTCAGGTTCTCCGAGTTAGCTCGTCGTCAGCCCAACGCGCAGTCTTCGACAATACGGAGAGTTCGCTGAAATTGGGACTACCGCCATATTTTTTGCCGTTCGCGGTTACAAGGAGAAAATTTAATGAAAAAATTTGGTGCGGTTTTTGAGAAAATATTTTTTTTAGAAATTTCGTAAATTTCAGACATCAATTATGGATAATCTAGTGTTGTTATTTTCTTCAAAAAATTCACACGACCGTTTTTAAAAGGCTGATTTTTAGAACAAACTTGGAATTAAAAATCGCTATCTTCAATTTTGTAATTACGAAATGTTACTTTTTTTGCAATTTTCGGAAATCAAAAAGAATGCCGAAAATGGGAATTGCACCATCTTTTTTTACCATCTCAAACGTACGAGGAAAAAATTTAACGAAAAATTAGAGCGGTTTAAAAAATTGTTTAAAAAATAAAAATTACGAGGGTTTTCTACGTATTTCAAGCAAAATTACACGAAAACTAGTCATACTTTCGAAAAATCGGACATGACCTCACTTTAAGATCTGTATTTAAAGAACAGATTGCTTTAAGGAAAAAATACTTAATATTGTAGCCTGACGCCCAAAGAAATTGCTCCTTTACAATTTTCGAAAAATAGGTGATTTTAACGAAAATGTAACTTGCACCATTATCTTAAGCGTCCTTTATGCTATCCAAGAACAAAGTTTATTACAAACATTTGGAGCCATTTTTGAAAAACTTTCGAAAATATTTGAGACTTCATGTAAAGAAAGTACCGTCAAAAATCCAAATATCTATTTGAATCTCCCAAAGCCTCGATTTCGTTCAAATTGATATCGGAATATCAATTTTGGAAAAAATAGGCTGAACGGTTTAAGCGCTAGTATTGACTACAGACAGATGGACGATTTGCCGTTGACCAATTTTTCGGTATCAAGGACCCACAAAATATGGATTAGGTACACTATATATTAGAGGAAGTAATTTACATAGATATCATACAATAGAGGATCAGGATTTATTCACCTTTTCATTACCAGGGCCCGGCAGTAGGCGGTTTCTACTGAAAATTCATAGTTTTCCAAGGCACGATTACATAACTTTATATTCTGCCGAAGTAAGTGCAAAAAAGTAAAAAGAGATCCATGCGTATTCTGCAGGGCAGGGCTGGTTTAAGGTTCTGCAAGGTTCCGGATACTAAAACACGAAACTATTTATGATTATAAATAGATGTGCAGTGAATAAGCGGTTAAGTAAATTTTTCTGCTTTTCAGGGCAACTTTTAAGTTTGCACAGTTGTGAAAAATCGAGATTTTGAAATAAATCCTTGAAATTTGGTAAAATGTACCGCAATGCCAGTATTCTCTCACATACAATTTAGTTACTGTTTTAGTAATGAGGTGAGTTAAAAGTGCCTTGAAAAGTAGCAAATTAACCACTTCTTATTGAACTTACAGACATTTATCAAAGTTGAGACGTCGCGGGTGAAAGACGAGACGAGAGAAAGTGAAACAGAGAGATAATGAAAACTAACTTCAAAGAGGTATATTTTCCTGAAGAAATGAAATTGGGAAATTAAAGAGAAAAACATTACAATTACTTTTTGTGTAAATTAGAAACTATATTTTGCAAGAAAAATTAATATTTAAACTTCAACTCCGAGATACTATCCTGGAAACACATCATAAGAGAAGAAGGTAATATTTGAAGTCTTTCTTCTATACTACATTGATAAAGTAAATTTGTTGATGACAAAGGCAGGTTGTCAGCCGAGGGCAGCAGCCATTGAGAAACGTATGGGACGTTCATCGACCATCACAAAGGCTCGTTAGACGGAACACGCAACGAATTTTCGAAGTTGAGATCGCATTCGCACACGCGGCATGCTATTATCAGCTCACGTTTTCTTGAGCTCTCATTTTGCTAGACGCGAAGGAAGTGAGGGGAAGGGAGGGGTGAGTATTTCTACATGACTATTATATCATCTGTAGCTTGGTTTCGACGCAAAGTAGTTTCAATTACATGGAAGCCAACATTTTGTCAATAACGTTCGTCGCTAGCGTTTATTCTTAATTTAACTAATGTCAGTAAATTACATGTAATGTTCATTTGTTTAGCGAACTGTCTCAGAGTATGTAGCAGAGAGTATTCATCCACAGTCAGCAGGCATGTAGTATTATTGATGGAGATAACTGGGCCATTCTAACTAGAGCCGGCCTCAAAGGCACTTAGTCTCAATCGTTCTCGGTGATAAGAGCAGCTATCCGAGAACTAGTTTCGGCACGGCCATTATCGAGATCGAACGATACCAATACTAGGCGTGATATCGAGGCGTACCCTCCGAGTCGCGGGCAATTAGGCAACGATGGATAATTAACGGGGGAGGAGTCACCGGATCTCTCGACTCCGTTTATTGCACAAACGTTTCAATTAAATATCTTAAACCGTTATTTATTCGAATTTCAATAGAGGAGGGTAACTGAACTATGTGAATAAAATAGTATCGAATGTTCTTTGAGAAAAATGTGAGTAAAAATTCGGCATGTATGGCAAGTTGCAATAATACTATTTTAGAACATTTGCAATAGTTATTAGAAACAAAATAGATGCTTCTCTCAGCGCACCCAATTATCTGACGACCAAATCCTTCATTTCCTGAAAACACCCAACTTTCAAGATCCATGGACTATAACAGATGACGAAATCAAAGACCAACTTCACGCCCTGGAAAAGACAAAAGCGACTGGTCACGATGGAGTGAAATCGACTGCATTACGTACACCACCGAAAAACGCCATACGACATCTGACTCTCATCTTTAACAACTGCATTCGACTACAGTACTACTCTGCCATATGGAAACACGCGACAGTCAATTACCCCCAATATATACAATAAAGACTTGGACCCCATCACAACCCATAAAATACTGAGGACTTCACCTGGACACAAAACTAACCTGGAAATTCCTTATAGATATCAAAATTAAATAAGCAAGAAATACATTATTCCAACTCCAACCACTAATCAACAAACACAAATCCCTGTCATACACAAACTCTGTAACAATTTATAAAGCTATAATAAGGCCACTAATGTTCTATGCTTATGGACAAACAGCCCCCAATAAGTCTTTAAAATTCAAGTAATTCAAAACAAATTCATCAGATTAAACACAAATTTCCTCTGGTTCATAAGTGATAATATAATAGCCCATATATCACATAATTTCTATCAAAATCTAAGAGACATCCCAGCAGCATCGAATTTCAATCTACCAAAAAATCCAACCCATACCCGAATAAAAAATATACTCCCTTTTGAAGCCTTTCTCAAAATTTTAGCTATTCTTGATTCATGACTCCGATGATCTCCCCCAGAGTATCCTCTCCAAGGTTAAGTTAACTTCGACATTTTAACTAGCATAAGTTTAAAAACACATCTAAAAAGTAATCATACTTAACGATATATTCCATCTAGAACAAATAAATATGTTTAAAAAACGCGACAGTGAAGATGATACCGAAGCCTCATAAAAGCAATAGAGGCCCAAATAATTGCTGTCCTACCTGCCTCGTTTCCAACGTCAGCAAAGTTTTTGACAAAATCATCCTTCATCGATTGAATCCTATCATTGACAATCACTTACGACCGACCCTACACTGCTTCCGGTAGAACCGATCAACAACACTTTAGACGTTACGACTCGCCAGAGACATACGAACCCGATGTACACATTTTACGACCAGTACCTGCACTTATCGACTTCACCTCCACCTTTGACATCAATGACCACGACATCCTCTTGCTTAGTCAGCCGATACTTCCACATCTGTTGAGGCAGCGAAATATTCGTAGATATGTTGGGAGAGGAATTAACAGGAACTGCGAGGAACATTGATAATTTTTCATCTGACAAGAGTGTTCTGGAAAAGAAACGACACACAATTGACAAAAATTGTTACTTGGACGAGTATTGAAGAGATTGTCATGGTTACCTCTGCCCAGATGAAATCAAATGTTTCGTTACGAATTTCGTGTTCTTTTACTGAGCTTTCTGCACTTTGCCTCTGATGACAATGCAAGCTCGTGACGTCTGAAATGAAAATCGGCGGATTGTCAGAATTTTGACAATATCCACACATGTTTTCACACGAGGATCTGTCCAGGAGCTGATGCGATCTTTCGGTGACACTCCGAACCACCAGGAAGCAGTTGACAATCTACGTCAAGAAAATGCACGAAAGAAGTGAGTGTTGGGCCAACTGGGAAGAATTTGGAGGGGCAATTTTTGATTAAATAAGACCATCTGCTAGGCGCGAAGTTTCAAATGTATGATCTTTTCCTCTGAGATGC